GTGGGGAGTTGGTCAGTTGATCTGAGCACTGGAAGATGCTCCAGCTCCCAAGCTGTGAGGGTAATTACACCTTGGAACAACATGACAGGCTGGGCAGGACATCCTACACCTTAAAATGAGCCTGTTAACAAAACAAGAATTCAAGGCCAAAGCTGACCCTGTGATTCCCTGCAGCCCTCCCACCAGCTCTCTGGTAATTCACTGTAGCAAACAGTAAGGGTCCCCTTAATATGTTGCGATGGGTCCAAAGTCAGCTAACTGCCGTGCCCCTCCTGTTATTCTAGGACAGCAGTCAAGCCTATTGCTGAGCCCATGCTGGGATGACTCTGCCGAAGGTCACTGACGGACCTCGCTACGTGTGGCTCGTTGATGTGTCTGAGATGCTTAATCTGGAGAGCCTGAGAGGAACCGTGGGCAAACTACAGCAGTGCCTACACAGATCACTCACCCAGCTGGGTCCAGGCTTGTTTTTCAAACAGAGCCACAGCTTGGAAAGATGTGGCTGGGGCTTCTCAGCTTTGGAAACAGAAGTCCTTTGTTTATAGACCAAGCAATGGTGGCATCAGCTTTCCTCAGGCTGACTTGCCAGCATGTCTCTGCCCTCTGCCACCTTTGGAGTGCAGGCTCCCCAGCCCGTTCAGTTCTCCGTCTCTTGGCGAAGGCTGCCAGTAAAAACGCCAATTAGTGCCAGTTGCGACACCATTGACAAGCTTAATAAAGCACACACGGACAGTCATTATGTCTCTGCAGAAGAGGATGGCCAGAGCTAGAGTCAGGGAGCTGGCCGCACAGGGGTGGGAAAGAAGATTCACCAAGTCCTAACACCATGAGAGCACGGGGGTAAGGATATATACTTAAAAGCTTCTGTCTTACCTGCACAGGTTAACGTAGTCACACAAGGCAAATTAATCATCTGTATGAAATGCTGTCAAAAGCACGTAAGGCAGTATACAGAGCCAGCATTCCTGAAAAGCTTAGTTACAGCCAGTTCCTCTAAAAGGCTACTTTCTACCATGAAACAGTGATGAAATATAATAAATATTTCCCATGTGTTGCTCAAGCATTTTCAAAACAAAATATTCATATACTACCCACCTTTTAGTACAAAGTGGGTTTATTTGCTGTGACAGGTAAAAAAGGCCTGAAACACTTTCATTCGGAAAGCAAGGGGAGAGAATAAGAACTGGGCTACTTTCATTTTTGACTCTTTGCAATTGACTCCTCTCTGCTGCTCCCTTAAATATTTCAGGAGTTACAAAGTTTGGCCTGTCTAGAGCCTGCTGAAGGGGCTGAAGTCTATTGTAATTTTGAGTAACTCATTTAAAGGATGGATTTAGGATCTTTAATGGTCGTCTTTTACCAAAAATATTGAGTAGTTAAAGAATCCAAATGGACATGAACACAAAACCAGGTGGTTTAAATACTCTAAAAAATCCCTTACTATAACATTTGTCTCGGTCTTGCTCTCTGATGTACTGTCCTGCCATAAAAGCTGCATCCTTGTGCTTACCATGGTCGCAGCCTGGTATGAGCATTGCCAGAGGTGGGCACCTTAAATTTAGCAGAAGATGCAGGTATTAAGTACACCTGAAAATCATTCCCTTCATGAATATGCACAGGTATGGCATATCAAGCCTAACATCAGTTTAACACTCAGCACTGCCCCAAGAATATCTGTGGCAAATAGGTAAAGGTTTTATACAGCTTCAGAGGGAGAGGAAGAGGGCTCTTAATGAACAGGCTCCTCCGTGTGGACAAGTCTTGCAATCTAAATCAAACAGGCAGGCGTTGAACAAAGGGGAAAAGGAAGCAGGAAACCACGGAGAGCAAGACCTGCGGGAGAGGAGGCCTGGGCTATAGGTATGGCTGCAGATACAGGCTGGTTTGAAAATGAAGGCGAAAATAGCAAGGACAAAGATCCAGCACAGAGGCATGGAAAGACAGAGACTAGAAACAGGCCAGGGTGCCAAGTTTATTTCCTAATCCCTATTTGTCCTATGTCCAGTGTTCAAGTCGTATGGGTTTTTGACTTGCAATATAACAAATCTATTGACATCAGCAGATCATTGTGCATTGCATCACCCCATCTTCAGATCAATGTTCCCAAATAGACAAACAAAGCACCCATGCCATGTGCTTAATATTTAAACAGCACTGTAAATCCTTGCAAACCAACTTTTGTAACACCTACATTAATAACAGTACTTCCATCATTGGCTGGTGTCAGCAGCTGTCTGAGGTTAGATCACCATTAATTCCCAGCTTGGCTTCAGTGGTCTCTCCTCCACCTACAATTTGTGAAAAAGAAACTCTGCCTATTACTTGCTCAGGCCACATCAAACTGTCCTCTATTATCATGCACAGGAATCACATCTATGGTGTTGCAAGGCTGCTGCTTGCACTGATTTATTCCTGCTCTTTCCACCAAGCAGGTGCACATGCATGTGTAGCACAAGAACGGAAGGAGCAGAACTCTCTTGCAAAACATAACTCATCAGTCATAGCAGAAAACAGAAATACAGTTTGCAAAAACATCAGAGATCCCCCGCTGCTGCTAAAAGAAACGGATCCAAGTTCAGCTGGGATAAAAAGGTTCCCCCTACTTGCCCTTATGGCCTCTGAAAGGAAAGGTATCTCTTTGGCCAGTGGTTTAGTTGATAAATGGAAAGACCACATACATCAACAAAGCAAATGTTTAGAAGCCTCAAATGATGAGAAACTCATCACGTTTAGGAATTATTGCTAAAGTCAGAAGAGTCTAGTCATCTAGTCTAAATTGTGTATGACACAGGCCAGAAATTCCCATGGTGGGCCTATCATATCTGATTGATCTGCAGCATCTGCTTTAAGTCCAGCCTTATTTTATAGATTTTTAAACAGCGGAGCATCCAAGGCTCTCTGAGGAACTTGTGGCTGAGCCAAGCAAAGGTCCCATTCAGATCACCTCAACCTCTCGTCTGTCCCTAAACCACAAAATACCCCCAGCCATCAACCCTGCCTCCTTCTTCTGTAGGAAAATTTAATCACTTCCTAATGCAAATGCGAGAATTGACCAGAATGGATCTGAGTCAGCAAG